CTACAACAAAAATTTCTTTTACAAATACCAGTATAATTCAAGAGCATAGCTCCTTCCAGCCATCAACCAATATGCAGACCAAAAATAAGATTTATCAACAACCTATGTGGAGCATCTACCCTTTCTTTCAAATCAAAACGACATACAAATCATATATTTACATTAAAGCAACAATACCAATCAAAAAGGTCCACCCACTGTAGCTAGTTGCCCTTTTGAGGTTGATGGTGGGATCAGCGTCAGCTAGCAAATCTGATGCCAAAATAATTTTCAGTGAATAGCATTCCCATGAGGAAAATTCTTAAAATTTTAATCAATAATCTCTAATAATGGTGTCAACTAGTTAAAAGCAATTCCACCAAAATTTATAAACATGTAAGTCATAACCATATTTATAAAATAAAAGTAAACTGAAAGCAATTTATGTTATCATGCTTCAAGAAAACAATCTGCTCTCATATAACTCAAAGTGATACAAATTACTAGTCAAAATTAAGTAAATTTCGAAAACATATTAATCAACATTTAAAATTTTGAGAACTCAACAGAACAGGTTACAAACGTGGACACTCAGTCCACGAGGGTAAATAACCAAACGCAGCTTATGCCATGAAAACAAACGTGGACACACCAGTCCACGAGGGTAAGTAACCAAACGCAGCCGTAGCTACGAAACAAACGTGGACACTCAGTCCACGAGGGTAAGTAACCAAACGCGGCTCAGGCCACGGAATCAAATGCGGGTACGAAGCCCACGAATACCAAACGTGAGAATCAAACTCACGAAACAAACTAGCTAGTATTTAACCACAGCGCGCTACGGGCTAACGGAACTGCCATTAGCAGCAGTGTTCTGTTTAGAGTCCTCTCAAAAATCGTGTTTCAAACATGCGAGAAAAATAATTATTTATGAAATATAATCTGCGTTTCCAATACCAAACTCGCATGCATCACTTTAAATTTCAATTTAAGACCTGTTGAAAATAGTCTTTCATAAAATAATATACGAACTTGCGTTATCTATATAATCAAGGATTTCAAGAGTTTAATAAACCAACTCATTCTATAACTCTTTGAAACACATTCCCTGAGGAAACAAATGCATATACCTTTCTTTAAACATCTCGTATTGATATCACAAAGTTTCAATACTAATGTAATTCACAAGAATAAAATATCTCAATGAAAATTTTTATTGAAAATAAAAATACCAATAAAATAGATTAAAGGGAATACTATTCACTTACTTGTTGAAGCTTTAAATTCTCAAAATGTTCCTTGCCTTTAATTTTGGTCAGGGTCCCGTTCTTCCTCGCACCCTAACAGAATATATATATATATAAATAAATGAAATTTTTTTTAAACATAATTCCAAATCAATCACCATCATATTTAGAATTGGTCCAAGTGTTATCGTTAACATCACTAGTCCCCACCAATTTGTTTTAGCTAAACCATCCATTCATGATTCCATAGCTTGCACACTATAAACTTCTCCCACCAAACATTATCCTTCATACTTACAACATTTCCCACTTTTGAGGTAAATTTTTTTAACCATATTCAATTCAATTCAAATCCATTTAGCTCGTAGGATTATGACCCACACTAACACACATATATTTAGCAAGTCTTTAAACAAACTTCCAACTTAAATTTGAATCTTCTCCCTCCTATAACAGCATGACATAACAGTAACAAAAGACATGCATAATATATATATTCCTTTTTTTTTTCTCAGCCACGTACAGCCATACACAGTCACAGGGAAGCCAAATTCTTTTCTGCCACTTTAATCACCAGTTCACATATATACAGGGTAAAAGAAGCCTAAACGTGAAGCCTTCTCACCTTAATTCACCACAACAGAAAACCAAGATGAAGAAATTGCAACAGCCGGCTGAACAGGGGAGATATAATCCGAACACTGTCACGATGTACAGTAATGAAAGGAGCTTGACTCCACAGCACCGATACAAGCTTACAATAATAACTCTACTCTAGTTTTGATGCTTCATGATTTTTCAGCTCAGAACACCCGGACCGAACAGCATACAGGGAGAACGCAGAAACAGGGAGCACGTAACAATAATGCAGAGCACAAAGCTCACGGTTGAGCTGGGAAAGGAAGAACTTACGAGTAGAGTCCTCTAGCTCTAACGACCTGGTCCTTCACTCTAACAGCTGCTTGAACGTGAACAGCACAGGGAAACAACAGACCAGAAAAAAAGAAGAAAAACAGAGTCTGTCTGCGTGAAGGAGCGTCTAACCATCACTGAGTAGTGGTGAACCTTCTCCGTCGCCGATGATAGCCAGAAGTAAAGAGGGGAGAGATAGTCGGTTATGGTAGAAGGTTGGAGAATAATATTGCACAGTCTCGAACTTTCTCTGTGTGTATGTGTACCGATCGGATAAGAAGAATGAAAGAAAATTTATCAAATGAGAAGGAGGGCAAGATGGTAATTTTATATAGATAAAAGAAATAAAAACTTCTCCTCAGTATTGGTTCGAACTTGAGAGCCAATATTTCTCCTTACTATACATATTTCCAATTAATATAACCACTATTAAACACCAACTTATAAATATACACTTATTATTATTATTATTATTATAAATTTTTTTTCTTGGCTATTACAGAGGGCTACGGCTCGAGATTAATGGAGGGATATAAGGATGGTTGTTTGTGTGTATTGTACTATTTCTTATATTTGTTGGAATTATATTATTTTTAATTCTCACTTAATAAACACACACTTAACTGTTGGTATATACTATCATAAATTCGCTTTGGTTATTGGGACTTTTTAATCTCATTATGTGGTTAACAATTTTGAAGAGAAGAGCCACGAGTGACATGTGAAGGAGTCCCAGAGGCTTAGTGGCATAAATCCACTGTCTCTTTTGGGTATTTGATTTATGATTTATTATGTTTTATATTGCCAATTTTAGGATTTTTTGTTTATTGTCAATTATATAAATATATAAATATAATCATGCCTTTCAAACTATTTCTAATTTTGGTACAATTTGGATGACTGTAATTTTAATATGTGGTTTACTTTGGATTGGTTAAAATGGCATGATTATAAGGCCAAATAACTGGCTTGTGTTGAAAATTGACTAAATTACTTATTTTACTTGTTGGGAGTATAAGGATGGACAAATGTGATTTAGTTTACTTGTTGAGAGTATAAGGATGGACAAATGTGATTTAGCCTAATGGCATGTGGGAGGTAAAAATTTATCTGAAATGTTATATTATGTGAGTTGAAGCCAATTATAAAATATTTTATTTTAAAATTATTGATATAAAAATGTGTTGGGTGGCTGTAACCCAACTATGGTTAAGTTAAATTATTTTAAAAAAAATTGATGTGTTACAACACTCCAGAATTAAGCTAAACAAATTTGTTATTAGGTTTTAATCATTATTTGTTTAAGAAAATATTCATTCCCCATTCTTAAAAAGTCATTATTCTCCATCTACTGCATATTACTGCATATTTATTGATAAAATGGGCAGAAAGATTTATTTGTAATTTGCTAGATTTTAGTCATTTGCTTAAGAGAAGTTGTCATTAATTCCGTAATATGCTTAAGTAGTCACTTCCTCCAAATGTTACATTTTGCTAATGATAAAAATGTACTTATAATTTGCCAACAGGTTTTAGTTATTTACCCAAAAGAAGTCGACATTTTTTATTCTTAAGTAGTTAATTAATACTTTCATTCCTATATATATATATATATATATATATATTTCATTTCAAATTTTAAATTGGGGGTAAATTTGTCATTCTGCCAAAAACCAATATGCTTGACAGATCTTTATTAGGAACTACACAATAATAATCCCATTTCGCGATACTTCTTTGTCATTCCTTTTTCTTTTTTTAATAAACAAAAGAGTACAATAATCCAAGGAGCATATTAAAGTATCAGGTTACACCAAAAGTCCTATTCTTTTTATCATCCATCACCTCTTGACATAAAGGGAGTGAGTGATCAAAAGCACAAAAATTCCCGGCAAGATTTGTAGAGCACTCTGAGCTAAAAGATAATACAAGAAATTCAAAGAAACTAATCTAAACAGAGACAAGCAGAATCTGGCTTGTCCAACAATGTCTATGAACGGATGCTGACTAACATCAGATTTCAACACTTGACAACACAAACTGAAACCTTGAATTATACCAATAATCCCTGTAATGGCAGAAGGAAACTGACCAACATTTGATGAAAAATTCCAGCAATCCAATTGACATTCCTGTCTCGGATCACACCTCCATATTTAGATTCCATTATGGGAGCCATCAATATCAAGTTGCAAGCCATTATCTCCAGGCCTAAACCATTGACAAGTAGGCCTCGAAGGCGTAGAAAGAGTAATGGATGGGTAGAATATAGTCTCTTTTGAGCAACCTCTCTCAGCATCTTCTTCATTGAATAGACATTTACATTTCACGCACTAGATGTCTCAGCATGTACATCCAAAAATCACATCCCAAGTTACTTAACAATCCTTTATCAACAAGTTTCTTGCATCGAAAATAAGATTTAAACTCATAAATTTATGGATTATGAACTGAATTCTTATCAATTAGATTAACCTTTGTTAGTTAAATTTTTTTATCTTAATTGAAATATGCTATATATGACCAAAAGAAATTCAAAGATACACAAAATCCTAACAAAGCAAAACAAAACCAAACAACAAAAGAGCAGGTTGCCAGGAGTAAATATTTCTTAAAGTATTAAAAATATTTTTAAACAGAAAAATACGAAAACCAAAAATCAAAGCTTAAACTAAAAATAAAATAAAAAATATGAAAAATAATATTTAAAATATAATTATTTATTAAACTATAATAAACCAACCCCGCGTTTACTGCGTCAACTTGAGTCATCTTCTCTTACCGTCCAAAGGTTTCCTTGAAAAGCTCCGACGAAAGAAAATAGCCAGAGAGAGAGGTCCATATTCATCGATCTCTCCCCTCATCGTATGTTCTTCTTCTTCTTCTTCACTTTCTATGGGAGATAGAAAAGACGATGTTAGAATCTACATAATCTTCTTCTTCTTCTTCGTCTGCAGCACCACCGGAGGAATCCTCCTCTGCCTCTACATCTTCCTCCCATCTACGCACAACCCTGAATCATGGTTCGCCATTCTCGGCCTCGTCCTCGTAGCCATTCCGTGGATCGTTTGGTTTCTCATTTATCTCTATCGATGCTTCAAACCCATGATCGTCGATGGCGGCGGTGACCGGAACATTCAAGATAACAACAACAACAAACCCTCCAGCCCGCCAAAATCTGCCGCTGCACCATCGTCAGATGCCGCCGCCGTTGCCCGGCCTTCCGCCAGCAGCTACGAGTCCGCCTTCACTCATTCCCAAAATAATGGTGGCCCGCCGGATCAGGGAGCCGGCGGGGAACGCCACGTGCATTTTGGAGCCGTCGTGGTGATGGAGAACGGATCGTCCCGAGGTAGTAATAGCAGCCAAAGCCAAAGATCTCATCACCGCAAGACGGCCGTGGACCGTCGTAAAGAGTTTTCCGGCGAGTTAGATTGTCAGGAGGGTGAAGAAGCAATGTTAGAAAGTGAAAGACCTTTAACCTCAGTAACAGATCGATCATCGTGACGTGCGTCATGCCTTGCGGTGTTGATTTTCTTAATTTCTAATATGGAGGCAAAACGGTACACTTAATTTCCAATGTGGCGCCATACGCGTACGCATGCATGAGATTAGATCGTAGAGAGAGACCTTAATTGATTGATTGATTGATCAATCAATCACTTAATATGTGATTTGAAGGAGAAATTAAGGCCCAAAGAGGGAAGTTCGTACGTGGTATGTGTTCTGGGTTCTGCATGTTTAAGCCACAAACAACGATGATAGTAGTAAAAACAAGAATGTAGTTTAAGCAGTACTATTTGGTTTGCATGTCTTTTTTCTTTAATCATCTCTTTAATTCTGATAAAAAAAATCATCTCCTTAATTTTCTGATTCATTACTTTCTTTTAAAAAATCACTAGAATAAAATAGCAAATTACAAGTTGCTCGGTGGAAGTTTCTTTCTTTCTTTTCTATTTTTATCAATGAAGTCCAATAATTAAAAATTAATTATTACTACTTTTATTTGAAAAATAACTTTTTTTTGGGAAAAATGACTAAAATAGAACAACATATTACAAGTTGCTCTATGAATTTTTTTTTGTAACATGCTATATGAAAATTTTTTTATCAATGAAATTCAATAACTAAAAATCAGTTGTCACTTGTTTTTAGAAATGACTAGTTGTTTTTTTTTTTTTGGGATAAAATAACTAGAATGGAATCATAAATTACAAGTTGTTTTGTATAAATTCTTTTAGAAAGGTGAAAAAGTCTTTTCACATTAAACATTTTTAGTTGACAAGCTAGTCTTAAGGATTATAAAATAATAATCACATTTTATGATGCGTAATTTCAATTATATATTTTTTAAATATTTTTTGTCGTTTTTCCTTATTAATATACAGTGATTCATTTTAAACAAATTAAAGCTGCTCCTAAACATAGATCCAAGGAAAAAATAGATATGCTCATCCATATCACTCATTCTTTAAAACCTACATGGTTGAAGAACTAATGCCCTATTTAATATATTGAAAACCATTTTGATAAAAATGAAAATAGATGTAAAAATTGATATGAATATAAAATTTAAAAATATATTTAATATTTTCTTGGCAAACTGAAAAATTATCTTTATTTAATATTGATATTTAAATATAGAAAGACTAAAATGCCCTCATCCATTAATTGCAACCCAGATTAATTGCCAAGTGTACTGTCAAAAACAAGATCCCTTTCTCCTTCTCTCTTGCTTATGCCATTCCTCACTCAAACTCGTGAAACGACCTTTGGATGATCTTGAAGCTTTAACCAGAAGAATGAACCTAGCCTAGATTCTTGTATGTGACTTTAATGACATTCATGGGGCTAAAGAGAAATCTGGAGGTGCCCCAGTCCACTTTGATAGGTGTAATAATTTCAAACGCAGAATTCACGCTTGCGCTCTCTTTCCCCAGCTTAATCTTCGGAATTGAAGGTGAAGGGTGCCATAGATTGACCCACCATCGGAGTTTTCCCTAAGAAGTTGTTCCGCGAGAATTTGAATAGGTGACTGGTATATTTTGTAGAATCAAAGATGAAGAAAAATCGAACATCTAGATAAATCAAAGATGAAGCAGAAAAGAAGACGAATTGAAGATATGGAGAAATCGAAGATGAAGCAGAGAAGAAGACGAAGATGGAGTTCTGGGAAAAGGATGAGTCATCGTCATCAAGCTTCAGCTAGATGCAATGGAGAAGAGGAGACGGAGGTGGCTGAGCAGAGGAGGTCTGAAATTGAACGTTAGAGCGAGGTTGATCCTGACCACCAATGCTGAGGAGGACGCCGTCATTCACAGACCTAGTTCACCAGAAGATTCAGTGGGACGAGAGGGAGGAAGAGAGCTGATAATCCAAATAGGCTGAGTTAATTTGGATTGGGTTTAATTTAAGCTGGCTTATTTAGATGTGGTTCAAAGTATCTTGCCTTATTAAAAAATTTTATATAGTCAAGTTCGATCCTAATTTTTTTTTTTTTTGATTGTGCTTGGGCTGGCCTATTGAGTTTGGCTAAATTTACCTACTCTACATACACATAAAGACAAAAATTCTAAGTACTGGGTTTATTCAAGTCGAGCTTAATTCTACTTGGACTTATTCAGATTGGGTTTAAAGTATTACACCTCTTTAAAAAAGCCGATATAGCTAAGTCTAACTCTAACTTTTTTTAGGCTGGCCCGTCGAGCTTGATCTAAATTGCCGGCTTTAGGGAGGAAGGGTAAAAAATGAAAAAGAATATATCAAATTGTAAAAGTGAGTTTTTTTTTAATGGAACATAATTCATTAGTTTTGATGGGAATGATTTCCATGTGAAAATTAAATTCAATCTCATTTTAACCAATTAACTGAACATGACAAATTTTCAATTCTATTTTCATATCTATTTTCATCCTCTCAATTCCATTATACCAAATAGGCTTTAAAAAGTAAAATAAAAGAAGTCATTGCAATTAAGATGATGGTAATTAATTAGAATGGTGCTCAATTCCCAGGGCCAGGAATGCTAGCATATTAGAATGTTCATTTGCTCTCTGCGCCTACCCCTCCGGCCAAAAAAAAAAAACCCTGCTAGGGGCATCTTCGTTGCCATACGTATAGCCAGAAAAAATTCGCATTGATACATATGAAATAATTTCCCTTTTTTAATTAATTGAAAATAGTATTAAAAGTTTTCAATGTGAAAATATGTTCACAAATCTATATTCAAAATTTTTCCAAAGACTTGGTAGTTTAAAATATTTAAAGGCTTAATATTATCCCAATATTTTTAAAAATAGAATAATTTTGTCTTGTCTAACAGTTTGACTATATTGACGGTTTATTTTGACTTGCCAATGCTAATGTGGCTTATCACATTGATGTCCAAGTATGATTTGAGAGAAAGTTTCAAAGTAGTGGAAATTTGTTCCCACTTCGATCACTTCTCCCCTACTTTTATTATTTTATTATTTTTTGCTCGTTTAAAATTTCTGAGAAAATTCTATGGTGCCCAGAAAAAAGAGCAATGCGGGCGAGGAAGAAGAAGCTGTTCCGATGTGCCACACCTTGTGTTCACTAATTTTCCAATAATAATCAGCGAGCTCTTCACAATCCAGATCAATGAAGTTATTAACAATGAGGCTGCAGTTTGTTTTCATAGCAGCGTTTGGTACACATTTGAGATCCTTAAAGAACCTCCACAGAGATTGGAGAGTGAGGGAAATCAAGTGGGGAAGACCCGAAACCACAAACGAATTATCCAATTGATTATCATCTTGAGATTCTAAAGGTTTAGTTACAATGCCGAAGGGATTGGTTTTATGATCAACAAATACAAGAGAAAAAAGTATACATAAAATGTCTTTTTGTTCGCAACAACTGAAACCAAAATTAATTAACCATTCCCTACTACCATATCAAACCCATCCTTATTAGGAATGCTAAGGAGGTTGGGGAAGACAATCATGAATATATAAATACTAGGTAGAGCATCCAATCCTTGCTTAGCTAAAAAGTTTGCTACAGCATTTCTTTCTTGCAGCACATGTTGGATTTTGACATCCCAAATCCCTATTAGGATATTTCTTTTTTCTTTTTTGAATATGCAATGGAAACTTCATTCTAACAAGAACAACAACTAGAGAACAAACAACTTATAAGGCAAAAGGAAATAGCAAACGAGAAAAACAAAGGAAAAAAAACCCAAAAAGCACCCAATCCTAACTAATAGGTGGTTGGTTTAAAAAGGTTAAAATCACAAGGGAACCTATAGGCCAACTTAGCAAGAAAGTCAGCCATCCTATTATCCTTACGATATATAAAGTTGAAATTAATGTTCCAATTCTACACAGTAATTGCTTTGTTGAATCAATGATATCCATGTAAGGATGGAAGCTAATGGAAGATAAAAATGAATTTAGTTGTGGATAGATAACCACAATGAGATTTTTAGGTTTTAGGCTTTGATAAGAGTTAATTAAGGATAATTAGTCATTAATAATTGTTGATGTGTTTGATTGTAGATTGACCGTTATTAGTGTTATTGAGCTTATTGGAGGCTCCATTTGATATTCATGAGTACTCTTGATTGGTAAATCAAGAGTTGAGGTAACCAAGAATTGAAGTATAGTATATCATTGTGTCTACATTTACACTTTAAGCATTATTATGGGTGGGTTGAAATGAGCAAAATGAGGTTATAGATGAATATATTGATTTTGAACTATTATCCAAAAATGAAACATGATTTATTATGATGATGTGTTTAGTGATTATATTTATATAGATGCTATATAATATTAAAACATAAGATGTTAAGCCTAAATTGCCTATGAGATAAATGTGTTAATATAATGAGTGGTCATAATTAATGATGTTGCAAGAGATGTGGTAAGCATACATATTTATGATGAAATGCTTGATGATTATAATTATATAGATGTTATTGGGTATTTGAAATATAAATTATGGGCCTAAATTGGCTATAAGTTGATTATATAATGAGCTATTATAAACTATAAGGTGTATAGTAAACTGTGATAAGCATGCAAGTTTTAGAAATTATAAGAATGATGAATTACTATGATATGTATGAGCTTATATTTGCATTTGTTGATTGAACTTGCATGATTAAAATGGGTGGGAGTTCACCTTAGCATTATAAAAGGGTTTTGATAGAAAATCCACGTGGTATAGCTTCTACTGAGTTTGCACACAGTAGTTAGCATACTTCATTATTATATATGCTTAATATTGCCAACAGCCTATGGGTGTCACATAGGTTGGGGACGATGCTTAGTATCATCGGTCTTGGATTGGATAGCATAAGTCAGATACTTATGACACCTTAAAATTTGAGTAGGGAGAATCTATGGTCCAAGAGTAAGTGTGAGAGCCTTTAGCCTTATGACCTTTCACAATTAAAGAGCGAGGCTAGTCCAATCATATGGGTTAGACCTATATGAGATAATAGTCCATTGATTCGGTCAAATGATATAAGGAGTGGTAAAAGGTGGTTGCATTTTATCATGTGAAACACATTATAAAGATACATTGTGAATCATGTTTGTTTAACTTATGTGATATTAAATACTTAATATGCTTGAATTCAGGCCTCATCTTATCAAGAAATAGCTCAGCCTTCCAGTACTCATCATCATGATGACTCAAGTAGGTAAAGTACTTAGATAGCTCGTTGAACTTTGCTATAAATTCCTCCTTATTCATATTTCCCTGTTGGATTCTATGAAATTTTGCCTCTTTCTCTGCTTAGAATGAGGCTGGGAAATAATGGGTGAAGAATCATCTTTTAAATTCTCTCCATGTCAACTGTGAGCCATCTACTTGCCTCACACTTTACCACCATTGCTTCGTTGCATCTTCTAGCATAAATGTGGCTAAGAAAACCCTCTGCTCAGTCATACAGGTCATAACAAAGAAGATGGTCTCAAGCCTGTCAATCCACTTCTCAACTACTCAATCCTCCACATAACCCTTAAAAGAAAGAGGATTCAACCTCGTGAACTGCTTCAAAGCCATATCATTATAGCCTTCTGACTCACTCGTCCTAAGCATCACCAGACGCATTAACCTCTTAGGAATACTTTCCTTATAATATTATTCATCTCTATGTCCATATACCTCAGCATGCACATCATTTCAAGCTTCCTCTTAGTCAATCCTAACTCTCTTAACTATCCTGCTGCTCTCCCTAGGTCTCTTTCTAAGAATCTCTTCATACCTATCCATTCTTCTCTAGATGTCTATCATCATACGCCTCAATTTATCTAAGGCATTATCTTTATTACCCTGTTGAGGTCCTGGTTGTTGCTCTTAGTTTATCAGTTCTTGTTTCAATCTTTATACATTCTCTAGTGCATTTCCAACATTCTTGGCTCTTGTTTGCACCATATTCTCCCCTCCTAAGATGGAAGCAATTCCAATAAGAAAAAAGGGAATTAGCACTAGCTCGGTGAGGGAAATAACAAGTGTAATGGGATATTGCCAATTGTCTATATGCAATGCACAACAATCTCAATCACATATTTAAATAAACTATAGACCAGTTCTCAAAACTAGAGAAACTGATATTAAGTTGTAATATTCTCACTTCACTAAATACAATTAATTAATATAACTCATGGTAATCATAGCATTAACTCAAAGAGTGATTACCAAGGTTTAATTTAAAAGTAAGGGATCTCAAGTTTTTCAAAATCTAAATGAGTTTAAACTATCATAGCTTCTTATACCAGAGTAAAAATAAGATATGAAAGTAAGGAATATCTCAAAGGAGTGAAATAAATAAAAAACAAGTGAAAAACAATTCTTTAAATGTGTGATAGGGCAATGCATCGTGGCTTGTACACGTTGCGCTACGGCGTGTTGCTCTCTGTGCCACACGTCATGGCTCAGGTGCCATGCGCCATGGCATGTTGCATGAAAATTTAGCAAATTCTGCTGTCGTTTAACAGCAGAATTGGAGAACTTCTAACACTCTCCAATTCTTCATCCGACATCCAAATGATGTGATCTAGGTGTTTATGAAAAACTATTAATATGAACTAGCTAATAGCATAGGTTTTACTTTTAAAACAAGTCACACTAGGAAGTTAGATACCCAAACTCATTTTGACCACTTTTCACAATTTTCACAAAAAATGGTGTCCAAAACCCTCAACAATTGCCAATAGTCTTTCCTGACACCTAGACCATGTCCATTAGACTCAGGATTACCAGTACAATACGTCACACACACTTAAACCACAGTATAATAAAAATTCACTCTTCAACCCCTTTTTTATCAAAAATAAAAGGGGAGGCAAATTGTCATTGCATTACACTCAAATCAATCAAAACGTATTCAAATCATCATTTTTACACTTGCACTAGTATTTTAGCATTATAAATATATATATCTCAATATACA